TTCAAAGAAGCTATTCGCTCAAGATCGTGACGGCCGCGATATTACGAGCTTGGTGTCAGTCATTATCATACATAAGTATCTATTTCTCCGCGTTAGCTGATACAAGCACAGGCGCATTGAACCCTAGCAATTATGGGAAGTGGTCATGGCTCAGGGCTTTTAACTTATAGAGATAATTACGTGTCCAACGCTACCTTGGAATCATATCATACATCTTAGATTAACGCTGTATTTACGGATTTAATCATAATGTATTTCATAATCAGTATTTCATGCCTGCTTTGCGAATTAATGATACCTTCCCTACGCTTTCAGCTATTAATAACGACTGCTAATGACACAACATCTTTTACTACCATTAACTCGAGTAATTTTTGTCCAAATATTTCTTTTTATTTCCCATACGGAGAAATTATTATTTCGTCATGTATTTAGTGGATATCGAGGGGGAAACCGCTGAGGACATTGTGGTGTACAGATTTGCGGCATTACTGGGCATTACTAGGGCATTTTTGGGGCATTATAAAGATTGTCTTGCTGAGGCATTATAAAGATAAAATAAGATACAATAAGATAAAATAAGATAAAAGAAGATAAATAAGATAAAAGAAGATAATAAGATAAAGTAATGCCCACTGGGCATTAGTGGGCATTGGTGTACAAGATTTTGGTCAGCGGTTTCCCTCTTCGGTGGATATCGTATCGCTGTAGGAGAGTAGATTGTGATTTTTTACGAAATTATATTGCGCGTCGATATAATCCCTTTGTAAAAAAAAAGAATGTAATAAGAGATTTAGAACGTACGTTCATTTCTTTTTTTTACAAGTCAATAGATCTTGGAGAAACACACCAGTCGCAGAAACATGACGACGTTCGAATATGAAATAAAGTTCGTTCTTTTCTTGCGAGACTCTCGTATGGCAGTTGAAAATATACAGCGTCACGGTTAATCTTAATGCATACGTCGCGACGTTCTGAGACAAATGATTTCGTACCGGTGAAGTATAACGAGCTGGCTCGAACTGCATTCCGCAGACGATAAGCATATCTTGGTTCGTAATGAGTGCGAGCCTCCCCACAAACTTTGCGACGAGTGTCTTTAAGTATTCCAAATCGTAAAAAATACTGTCGCTTCAACAACTTCCTCGCTCCTTCATTAAAATGCAGGACAATTTGTTTACGATTGTAATTAACTGCTAATTATCATTAATCGTTTTGTAAGATATGAAAAAAATGGCTAATTTCCCTGTCGCAGGAAAAGGTTGTATTTTGTGGAAATTGCATAATTCTTTTATCGAGGAGATCAATGTAACCGAAATATGTAATTTGAATAATTTAATGTATTTATAAGCTCGTTGCAAATTTTCAACATATCTGTATTCACAATGAGATAATTGTAATACAATAGTAAATCAGGAATAGCGTAAGTGGTGTGACACATTCATGAGTTTATCAATTTCACACTGGAATTCAGGAAATCGCAGCCTGGAGGAAGGAAAGCGACTGATAAAAATGCTTCTCTACTCATGCATGCGGTAATATTCAGTGTATTTCTGTTGGCAGACATTGATCATTAAGTAGCAAAGCTTTTGCTTTTCTTGAGAAAGATTATGTTTGCATAAGCTCTTCTATAAAGTCAGTGTACTTGAAGTATTCAATAGGAGAATATTTCAAGAATTGTCCAAGTTGAGGAAAAGAAGGAAAAACTTTTAGGTGCATAAAAATATTCTGGCTTACAATCATAAAATATTCTACAAATGAACAGATCAAAGCCGAAATATAAATGGCACAAGTCTGAATAGTTATTTATTTGGTGGGATTCGTAATTGTTGCCTTTGTCGAAAGTGGGTACAAAAATTTGCGTGATATTCATGTTATTAATTAATTTAGTAAATATAGCTCTTCAGCGTTTCACGAGATTCAGTTGCGGAATAAATTTTACGCTTCGCAACGCCACGAAATTAATGAATTAGCGCATGAATGTTCTGCAGTGCCTCTCGAAGGATAAGAGGCAAGGCAGTCGAACATTAGTCACGCGCGAAGAAAGACGAGAACTATCGGTCTCGTTGCGGAATAGTGCAATTTCGAGTGCGATATCGTGCACAAAAAAATGTATGAGAAGGTACCGAACAGAGGGAAGGGGCGCAGGACGAACGGTCGAAGAAGTGTACCATGGCCAGCGGGTTTCTCGAGGGACGCTCCCTTCTTCGGCAACTGGGTCTCATTTTAATTCCCCTCGAAAGAAACGAACCGCCTAGCAGCTGTTGCAGCTTACGAAACGCGTGCATCGCTGAACTCCACGGGATATTCGAGGTGAGAACAGGTAATCGATTTGGCAACGCGGAGTGAGATAAAAACGCGCATTTTCGAAATGTACGCACGCGTGCAAATGCATTTTTTTTTAAATAATTTTTCAAATATCTATAAATCGTTCTGATAAAACTGTGACTTTTAGCCGTTAGATTAATTAACGTCAGGAATTGTAGGCCCGACTTCGGCTCGAGTTTAGAACCGATCATTTCTGAGTGGAAATGTCGAGATATCAAAGTGCACCGAAATGTCTCCTTAGAAACTCAAATTCTGGTATTGTACAGTCAATTTCGCTATCCCCAATCTTGATTTACAATTAGTTCCGTAAGACATTTGCATCGAAATCGCATGCGATTATATATCGTGCTTATTCATGTGTCGAATACGTATTAGAAAATTTACGTCAACTACTCTTTAGCTATTCTTAACATTCAAATATATTTATAAAGTGGCTCATAGTTTTCCTCGAGAATTTATTCAGCAGATTATATAATAACAATGTTTCCGCGAAATTAAATAATTGCGATATTGCGAACAAGTTTCGTGCCCGAGGTAATTTTGTTACATAAAAACTATAAGTGACATATATTATTCTTTAACTTTACGTAATCGTGTATTAAAAAGATTGCACCTTTTATTCAGATTTTGCAAAATCTTCTGCTCCTATCGCAACGGCCGAGTTATTTTTTGTCGCGTTGTAATAAATTGCGACACATTTCGTTCTCACAATCAGTTAATTCTCGACGATTTCTCTGACGAGGGACTTTATCGTCCATCACTTTTCTAAAAACTTTGCATCACGCTGCATACACTCGAATGGAGACCGTACTGGACATTTGAATGGGCACGATTACTTACACGGGTTTGCGTTATAAAGTGACTTATGGCTGGCGAGAATCGCTTCGTTTCGGAATCGTGAAACCGGGCGAATGTAAAGCGCGCGTTTAAACACAGCTGCGAGATAAACGACACGCCTGCTTGGAGACTTAACACAAAGGTTCGCCAGACTGGATACTATGTCGCGAATTTTTGCCAACTGTTGCGCGCGTTTCCCATTACTCACGTAACGATGTTGCAAAAATTGTGACGCGTGTCAAAATTGTGCGATTGTAACGGTAGAGCAACACCTGGCTAATGAGAATCATTGAAATTGCATTAAGCGCGATACGCGATGAAAGGTGGCCGTTAAAAATCTGAAATAATTTATCGCGCGTATACTCCGGTGTTTTATTTTATTATCTGCGCGAATTTCTTCGGGATCGTATATCTATCGGCCCGCAGATGTACACGCGAGGTACGTGAACGAATGCGATACAAATAGCGGTAGTCTGCTTGATTATTTACTGTCGCACTCGTCGTTGTGTTAATGGTACGTGGACTTGGTAATTTCTTTTGGGGTAATCGTATATTTAACGCGAAAATCATAATCACGAAGGCGGCATACAGTGGAGCTACGTAAAAGATGATATTTCGCACTTTCTGATATTAATTGTTAACTGGACATTTTACTTTGCGCTTGTGACTGGCTATTTTACACTTTAGAGAATTCAATAGGAACCGAATTTCGTTTATAATAGGTCGGCTCGTGTTGCCTGCTGTTGTTGCACTTGGAATTTCTCTTTTTCTTTCTCTTTCTTCAACGCTTAATGCCGCTTTATCTCGTTATAAAGTGCAGGAATTTTTGGGGACTCCAAGCAACACGAACAAGCCTAATATGTGTATGTACAAAAGGAAAACGATAAATCGCGACAAAACAATAAATGACAGATATTACAGTCACAAATTTCGAAAACTGTCCATTTTAAGCTTCAATAACTTGAACGATTTACTGTATGCCTCTCTAAATGTGAGAGAACTCATCTGCTAACCCGTTAATGACGTTCGGGCAACAGAAAATGAACTGATACATTTCCGATCAATAATGTGTTAACGAACAGCTGCGTAGGTAGAACGCGAAATACTGTATACATAAAAAAATCGACGAGATTTAGTGTCTCATTGTCAGTCATAAAGAAAGTCAAATTATCTTCGAGAGTTGGATTTTTTATTTCGATAAACATAACGGTTTCATTATTTTAATGTGCAACGTGCGAAAACCATTGTAATTCCGACGTTAAAAATTATGGAATGATCAATTGCCACGATGGAAAATATTACTATATTTAAACTGACACTGAAATTTAACATAACAATATTTACATTAGCGACAGACAACGCGAATGGCTCTTCGACATTTCTCGCAATCCCGCGGACCATCCCTCCGTCATCCCCGATTTCTCACCCCGTCCCGCTGCCTCGAAATAGGTCAGCGAGAACAAGGTCGTATCAGCGGGTTTACCTAGTAATCGACGTAGCGACTATTACGTCAACGGGTATCCACTAAGGACTGTAGCTGGGCACTTTCAACAATTTCCTAACGATGATTAGCTTCGTCGAAGGGCGATCTAACGTCGCATTTATCCCAATTTTGTCCAGCCACCCCGGCCAGACGATACCATTCATAGACGCGCGTTCACCGAGCTCGCGGACGGCGCTTGCGCGGAAATGCACCCTCAGTAGGTCGAGTCCACGAGTCCGCGGCGAAGCGAGGGAGAGGGAGGAACGGGGGGAAGCCGGAGGGTTGTTGACTAGGTCAGGGGTGGGCAGCAGAAGTGCGGAGACGTGGACTCGACGGCGGGTTCTCTCCTCACCTTCCTCTGCGCCTCCGCGGCGAATCCGGACTTGGCAGCTCTGTTGCAGGCCATTTTTTTTTTCACTCGGCGGAAGGGTCGCGCTCTCGCAGGGCGGTGAAAATGCGCGGGGGTCGATCAGCCGAACCACGAGGGGACCACGTTCACGGTACGGCGGACGCGACTCGACTGGCGGGAGCCGGCCGACGGGACGACGGCGACGGCAACACGTTCCGCCGGAGTTCCTGCGGCGCGCCCGACGATTGGCCGCGCCGGAGTATTGAGCTCTGTGTCCGCGACACGTGACCTCCGTTCTCCAAGCCGCCGACGGAGGTGACGTCAGACGGCGAGCGAATTCCTGGAGACGAGGAGGAGCGCCGTGTTTCGCGACGTTTTCGATTAATTCGCGCGGATCTTGAAATGGAAATAAAAATACGAAACAAGCGGCCCTTTGCCGCCAGCTGGTAATCAACCAAGGGGAATTTTTTAAAAAAATGGACCAAACTGGCAAAATTGATGTTTATTTCAGTCGCGACATTTCGACCCCTTTGTCGGGTCCTTTTCAAGTACAATCTAAAGTTGATCGAACGTTTTAATTCACGAAGAAATAAAATTAAGTGTGGAAGCGACTTTACTGGCACTTCTTTATTCTATTATAAAATTTATAACGTTTCGGCCAGTAATACTGGTCCTCTTTAGGTAACGAACTAGACACAATGTACTGCGATGTCTTTAACGTTTGACATAATTTCACATCTTCAATTTCGACGAATCTTATTGTACATTTACTCATGTAAGTTCGTTACCTGAAGAGGACCAGTATTACTGGCCGAAACGTTGTAAATTTTATAATAGAATAAAGAAGTGCCAGTAAGGTCGTTTCCACACTTAATTTTATTTCTCAAATTCTCGACTGGCGTTAACATATCTGCTGGTGGATTATTTTAATTCCTGCCGAAACAGAATGGATTCACGAGTGTGTGGTAGCAAATTCATAATATCATACATGTCTCGGTAGTCAGTGGATTCTTAATGGCGATGTCAATTTCTAAAATTTCCAAGTAGCAACCGCACGTTTGCGCATCTCGAGTAAAACTGTCATTTCAAAAGTACGAAAGTGTGTGACAAAATTGCTGCACGTCTCGAATGATACTCAATTCTCTCGGTACGGTATTTTGTGTCCGTGTCCTCTTTAAATATCTTGAACACTTCGCTTAAAAAGTACGTGCTGAATTGGCGTTGATACGTACTTTACATTGGCTACACTTGAAGTGACACGGAAGAAGCTCTGCACTCTCCCCGGTGCGGTTAAAAAATTTTGCATTGATATGTCCGGGCGAAAATTCAGATCATCTTTCGCATTTCTTCCTTAACTAGGTTGGAGATGACGTCAGGGTCGGAATTCCGGGAACTGGCCTGATACCGTCTGGGAATTCAAAACCTATGGTTCTCGTCATTGATGTTAAGCCCGCATTTAACTTCGTAACTGTCGCAATCCATTCGGGTATCTTAAACGAGTAAGATATTCAATAAAAATTATAATAAAAGTATAAAATTATAAAATTCGATAAGATTCTAAAGTTAGGAGGATTAAAATATATATATTCGAAAGGTCTTCCTGCATGGAACGTAGATCCAACATTTTTCACATATCTTTATCAAAATGAATATATTTTTCGATACTTATTAATTTCAAGGTATCATTTTTAAATTGAATTTCACCGAGAAAATCGAATGATATTCGAAACGTACAGGTTTGACACACACGGACGCTTCTTTGGTTTAAAGATCCGCGCGAATTAAATGTCGCTGTGCGAGTGGCTTTGCTTTAAGAAATAATGGTAAAAAATTCGCCCGTGCAATGCGGTTTTTACTTAAATTTCGGCGGCCTCGATTTCGCTGAACTCTCGCGCGCGTCTCCTTCAGCTTCGACTTTGGCTACGGATACGATCGCCGAAGAACGAACGACCTTCTCTGAGGCCTCGTGCAGGCTTCCTACATGGAGCAAAAAAAAAATTGCCGCTGGGTCATGGAACCTTCGATGGATATAGGCTATATATGTATGTTTCTCCGTGTGCCTTCACCCGGTCCTCATTGTTGCTGCTCCGCGACGGGAACTCGTTCTGCAAATGAAACTGGTATCACGCTGGCAATTCATGTAGGCTGAGTTTATCTTATAAGATGATAAAAAATAACCATTATAAATTCGGTAAACTATACCAGATGCGTCATGACGGAGAAAAATTAATCGCGCACATCAGGAACGTTTTCTGTGTCATAATCCGCAATTTATAATTGACAAGTTGCAGAAGAGGTAAAAAATTTGTTTTTTTAGTCCGAAAAAAAGAATGGATTGACATCAACATCATAAACATATTAAACGATATTGCGGTACGCCGAATTTTAAGGGTTAATCTTAATGAAGATTGGACTTTTTTTTTATAAACTACACGGAGAGAAGTTTCTCTTGCAGTTTATCCTGAAAATCATGTAATCATGGGACAACACGGGCATTTCGAAGAACTTTGAGAGTTTTTGAAATTTTATCGTACTTTTTACTAGAGCTGGGATTTTTCTTCGAAGATTTTCAATTTCGAAGCTTCGTAGAAATTCTTCGAGAATTGAAGTTTTCACATTTTTTGAAGATTCGAAGTTTCGAAGCTTCAAAGTTAACTAATGTATTAACAAGATAAAAAACAATAAATATACGAAATGTTAGTTGATTGTTGAACTGGAATCTTTTGATTTATGTGTGACGAATATTATAATATTGGTGTATAATTTGGGTATAAAAGTTTCTCACTCCTTGCATTTCACTCCCTGTCATCTAATATAATATAAGTTTGATAGTCTACTCTCAGTCACCAATACGGGTGATAAATCAGGTCGGTCTGTGAAAACTTATATGTTAATGCATTAGTTGACTTTGAATATTCGAACCTTCGAGTCTTCGAAAAATTTGAAAACTTTGAAAATTTGATATTCGAAGTGTCTTCGTTTCTTCGGATTCTTCGAAGCTTCGAAGTTACGAAGCTTCGAATAATTAGGACTACTACCTTTTTACTAGTATAATTATACTGTGTATACATTTTACTAGTGAAACGTACGGTAAAATTTAAGAAAAACTCTCACAAGGTTCTTCAAAATGCCATGTTGTCCCACGATTACTTGACTTTCAGGGAACATTTTTAAATACAATTCTCTCCGTGTAGTTTTCGTCGCTTGGATCTTTGCGAAACTTAGGGGTGTAAGAATTCGACGGAACGTATTTATCATTTTCCCTTTTTTTTTCCTCAAAGATTGTCCGTTACACTCGCTAACTCGTGCACATTTTACGACCGCGCTCTGGTCTATTTGCATTTCTACTAGCTTCTAAGGACGTTCGGTGCTCCGTGAGAAAAGCAGCGCCATACCGAAAGGAATGCTAGGAATTTACTTAATAACAACTTCCTCCTGTGTATACGTGGTAAAACCGACCGGAGAAATCTGGACTCGCTTTCCGATACCATATATCCTTGCGTTTGCGTCTCTTACTCATATTTCGCTCGAAACGTGCCGTTTAATTGCAGTCTGCGCACGACGCGGCGGGGAAATACTAGAAGATACCATCTTAATTTTTTAAATAGATTTGCAAATTTTGCTCCTTAATAAATATTGCATAATCTCGTATTTAAAATACTATTTTTAATATACGAAAGAAAATTGTCACTTATATTCGCCAGTGATGGTTAAAAATTTAAACAGTGAGCTCATTGTTAACCCAAAGACCTGAAATAAGGTCGAAACGTTGTAACGAATTTAATAAAATCTGCCAGTTGGGTTGACAATAAGCTCACTGTTTTAATGTTTAATATAATTTTTAAAAATAGAAAAATTAATGAGGTCTGATTCGCTTAGTTGTATGAACAAATGGGTCGAAGGAAAGACCAATATAGGTACATGTGGCGAGCGTGACGCAAAGAAATGTGCATTGCTTAGTTAATAAATGAACGAAAAGATCCGAGTTCAAATCCAGCCACGGACACCGCTGGCCTTTTCGGACGCCACCTCTCGAAGGGAAGTGGCAACCGAGAGTATTCAAATTTTCAAATACATAATGCGATACGAATTAGACTTCAAACCTCTATGTTTTTTATATGAAAATGTTCTACTATGCAGTCCACAATCCAGTTTGGTATTATTTTGTACATAAATGCCAATAATAAGATTTGCAAACGCAAAAATTGTATGCAACTCTGTCGGTAAATCAAACCACTCCAGCATCCCCTTAAGCCTTAAGAGATGAGAACGTGTATAATTTTTAAATATTACATTAACATTTCGCGTTGATTAAAAATACTGTCTTCACGACTTTCGATCTTACCATCAGAATGTTCGCTCACCAAAATTACGAACGAATATATATGTTTAACGTTCTTTTCCGTGTAAAAACAAGCACGTACAATATTATTGTCTATATTGTATTTAGATTTTTGATGTATGTAACGTAACTATTACTTGCTTGATCGTTTCGCTCAGTATTGAATAAATGTATACCGCATTTGAAATTCGATTACGATCGGCCTTCGGACAGTATATGCACTAAATTTCTGTTTACGCGCATCGATACGCATGTCACGTATCGATGACTCAATCGCCTGCATTGGAACTTCAGCGGGTAGACACGTCTCGAAGTACAGCTTCGACAGAACATTCTGTTTTTACGGTCTAAAGATGAAATATTTCTTGCGATTTGCTCGCAAATGTAAGACGATTATTAATCGACGAAGAGAGAGTTTGCTTATAGTTACCAGTGATGATTAAAATTTAAAACGGGATACTTATAGTCCACTCAACTGGCATATTCCTGTGTTTGTTTAATACAACGTTTCGACCCTATTTTTTGGGTCCTTGTCAAGTAGCGCTGCAAATCAACAACATACGCAATTATAAGATTTTGTAAAGCTCTCTCAACTTCCATTCGTTTTACTTAATAACTTACCAAATCTTATAATTGCGTATGTTGTTGATTTGCAGTTCTTGATAAGGACCCAAAAATAGGGTCGAAACGTTGTATTAAACAAATAAAGGAATACGCTAATTGGGCTGACTATAAGTTTCTCGTTTTAAGATTATTAATGTATTTTTTTTTAATTATAGATAACACTGACATAATTAAAGATTTATACTGCGATGAAAGAATAGGTACACAGAAATTCGTAGAGGAAAGAAGCTAGATGTCTAATACGAGATAGCAGGTTTTCAACGCCCAAATTCAATCACAAATCTTTTCTCCCAACGATTACACGATCTAACAATAAATTTTCCATTAAACAGATTTCGCTCCAAGGGAAATAAATTCATGGTGGGCTCAACTGATGATGCCTATTAATTTAACAGAAACGCTATCTCATATTAGGATCCTTCCTCATAATAGGGGACTTTCCTCTAATTGTATAATTGCGCGATCAAACGTAAAATACCCGCAGAGAACGTTACGACAGTTATGTATCTTGAGAATTGTGTAAACGCACACGTAAATCTCTTCCAGTAGTCACAAGATATGCAGATTAGTTTGATTCCCGTGCGTTATACTACAATGTATAAGCGATGCGCCACAGTCACGGTCATATACATTAATAGTAAGCGAGTGGCGAGAATATTGAGATTCTGAGTATTTCTTACAATCATACGGGCAGCATTTAAAAGCATACCGCACGAGTGCTCACGCGATTCGCACGCAAAGAAAGGGCAAAGGCCTGTATCGTCCTTTTTAAGGCATTTCGCGGTCGAATAGACGGTGTGAAATAATTCCTAACGCGTACATTCAGCGTGTGAAATGATAAAACTCGAAATCCATAAGACTATCTTGACTTTATTATTACCAATTATTGAGAAAATTTGTCAATAATTCACTTTATATTATTTAAATATCTTTGTGCATTTCAGACGTCACTGCATTGCCGCGCTATAAACAAAAATCGAAACTTTTCAAACTTTTTCATTGTCCTTGCGTTAAATTGCTGACAATGACGAAATTTGAGCTAGCGAAAATTTTATCGCGATTTAAGAATACTAAAATTCACACTGTTCTAAAAAATTACGTGACATTTCAAATTAACAAAAATTTATTAATCAATGTAGAATAGATTTGTAGATATACGAAGAACGTTTCGAAATAATGTATAAAATTTATTACATTTACAGGAATAATATACGGTGCAATCTCACTAATCTGGCAATACATTAAAACCTATATTGTGCCGGATTAATGGATTTGATTGCTGAAACGCGTAACAAATGTAGTTAAATAAAATAATAAATGAAATCGTCATAGTATATAATTTAATTAATACTTATATAAATATTATATTAAAAATACAAAGTACGTATTATAATTATGTAATTATATGCACACTATGATTTGGTATTTGGTATAAAAATTTAATGTTTAAAAAAATAGAAGGAGTTTAAGTTTGCCTTAAGCAAGCGGCAACGGCAGCCCGCGATAGTGCCGGATTATTAGACGTGTCAGATTACCAAAGTGACGGATTAGCTGATTATACTGTACTCTATTATGTTAAGAATAATACTGTTTTGTGTCCGTTGAAAATATTATTTTCTTGCATCAATTATAAAATTTTGCACAAATATTCTTCGCGAATGCGTAAGGATTGTTTGAAACGAGGTACAATTTTGTCTTAAATAATCTTCTGAATAAAACTGTTGCGCGTGCTGGAACTGAACCAAGTCCGCATTCGTCGTGCGCTTTTTTGCTTACCGGTTCACTTACGATTTCCTTCGAAGGATGATTAAAACCAGATCGAACGAATACCAGTTTAGGCAACGTCCTTGTACCTTGTAGAGATGCTCTGACCGACAATTTTGTTTTCGTGTTGACCTATATTCACAACCATTTCATATTGATACAAACTTTTAACTCCAAGCATTTATTATATGTGCTCAATGTTATTTTATTACATATACAAAAAGTATTAGAATAGCAAATTGTAATAGAAATCGAAACTATTAGTTAAAATCTAGATGTATCTGAATATTTGTCCGGTTTTTATGAATTTAATACTCATATATGTTGACCAATTTTTTTGAAATCTTGAGAACCATTTAATTACCTTATTAATTTTTATACTAACAATAAGTAAAGGAAACAAGGTTGTTAAAAGCATAGATAATAATTTTTTTAAGAGAAGAATAGAATAAATTAATTTTCTTTTTATAATTTTTTTAACGTGACAGTTTAGATAGGACTTACACACAATTTAGACAATTAAGATAGATAAGAACGAAAATACATGTACGGGAGGATTAAATAATTAATTAATATAAAAAAAGAGAACGCATCAGTATTTTAGGAAGTCACCCAATCTAAGAGACGATTATGAACTCTTGGCGTTAGCTTACAATTGTAAATTTTAACAACACATGAGAATAAAATTCAAAGTTTGTAGTGATATGCCTGCGCTGAGACGCTCCTTAGAATTGAACCTTATCGAATCACCTACTGAGAAAATGGCGTTTTTTAATGACGAGCTGATTGATTAATTAACGCCTCAGTAATGTGGTAATATTGTCTCTAAGCTATCTTGTACGGACGTGTTCGTAATGACGCTGTATACTTTCTAGAATAAACGTCGCGGTTTTTTTAAGCACGAGTGTTTATTTCTCCGCGGTTTCGCGAGCGCGCGGACGTGCATATGTGTGAATGAGCGCGACAGGCCCAAGAGTGCGCATCGCAACAATATTAATATGAATGAGTTTTATATACAGGGTGTTATGTAATACCCGCATCAACGCTTATTGTGGGATAGAGTGGACTAGACTAAGTCGAAAAGTCCTCTACCATTTTGCAATTTTCGCAAAAGTCAGCGAGTTATTAATTATTAAAAATCGCTGTCTTAGGCCGGCCCACTGCCCAATTCAAATGTGCGGCGAGATCGATCGATCGTTACTAGGCGCGCAGAGAGTTGTAACGATCGATCGATCTCGCCGCA